GGGAAGCGCCGGTGGGTTTGGGCTCCAGGCAGAGGGAGGCAAACGAGCGCTGCAGCTCGCGCTCAGCCACGTTCTCAGACACTGGAGAATCCACCTCGGATCCCACCCTCAGGGCAAGGGGGGGTCTAAGCCCTGCTGAAACGTGGGTGCCTGTCAGAGCTCCCATCCTCCAAGCGAGGGGAGAGGGCACCTGAGGGGGGATGGCACGGATCCGGTGTCCCCCAGAGCTGTCCCCATCCTGGCCCCCACTGCGGGTGCCCCAAGCTGGGCTCGTTACGCCCAGGTGCCTGCCCTGGGGTGAGCCCCCCAGCCACCTTGCCATGGGGCAGGGGTGCCCCAAATCCTCCCATTTCCACCCAAGATGGGGAAAAGGTCCTGCGGGTGCTGGTGGGGGGAGCTCGGAGTGGAGCAAAGCCTAGGGTGAGGTGGGGTGCGGGGCTGTTCCCATCCTAAAATGGCCCCTGCTTATGTCTGGGCTCCTCAGGTCCGGGCCAGCCTCTGGGGTCCCCCCGTGTCCCCTCCCAGCCGGTGCCACGCGGATGGGTAGCGCCGTCGCCTGTCTCCTCGCATCCCACCGTGGTCCCCGGGTGTGAGGGAGCAGCCCCCGACACAGAGACCCCCCTCCCCATCCCGGCGTCCCAGCCGATCCCACCGGCACCATGGATGAGAGCTTCCGAGACCGGACGGCGTTCATCCGGGGCGCCAAGGACATCGCCAAGGAGGTGAAGAAACATGCGGCCAAGAAGGTGAGCAAGGGCATGGACCGCATGCAGGACGAGTACACCAAGCGCTCCTACTCCCGCTTCGAGGAAGAGGAGGATGATGAAGACTACCCACCCCAGGATGGCTACTACCGGGGGGGCGAGGGGGCCAATGAAGAGGAGGGGGCTTCCAGCGATGCCACTGAGGGTCACGACGAGGAGGATGAGATCTACGAAGGCGAATACCAGGGCATCCCCCGGCACGACTCGCTGAAAACTGGGGAGCGGCTGGGGGCCGAGGCGGCCGTCGGCGCCTTCGATGACAGCGAGGGACAGCGGCGGAAGGACAAGGAGGAGCTGGCGCAGCAGTACGAGCTCATCCTGCAGGAGTGCGGCCACGGCCGCTTCCAGTGGACCCTCTACTTTGTCCTGGGACTGGCCCTCATGGCCGACGGCGTGGAGGTCTTCGTGGTGGGCTTCGTCCTGCCCAGCGCCGAGAAGGACATGTGCCTCTCCGACTCCAACAAGGGCATGCTGGGTGAGGAGGGGACGGGGGGCACTGGGAGACCTGGGGGGAGGGGAGCAGGTAGAGGGATATGGAGGGACTTGTGGGATATGGGGGGCATCAGGGACAGGGGGACATGGGGGGGTGGCTGGGAGATGCGGGATGTGGAGAGATATGGAGGCATTGGGGGGGACGCAAGCAGGGACATGGAGGGACAAATGGGATATGGGGGGAGATGGAGGGACAGATGGGATATGGGGTGACACGAGGGACAGGAGAACACAGGGAGATGTGGGGAGAGACGAGTGGGTGGGGACACGGAAGGGCCTAGGGGGTACGAGGGGACATGGGGGATGTGGGGGGCACATAGGGGATATGGGGGACATGAGCAGATGGGGATATGGAAGGATGCAAAGGGACACGAGTGTGAGGAACGTGAGCGGATAAGGGATATGGGGGGACACGTGGGATATGGGGGGACACAGGAGGGACAGGAGGACGCGGGGACACATGGGGAGACGCGAGCAGATGGGAACATGGGGGAGCGTGAGGAGGCAGAGGGGTGTGGAGGGACATGGGAGGCCCTGGGAGCTACAGGGACGTGGGGGGACATGGGGGGACATGGGGAGGCCGGGGAGCAGGGGGACATGTGGGGATCAGAGGGGCACAGGGGGAGGTGGG